CCAGAGAATTTGCTTACAAAACAGTTACACTTGAGGAAGAGTTGGCAGTGGAAATTTTGGAAGTTTTTGTTCACTTGTACATCATCTTTGATAAGTCAACGCATTACCTACATGCAGGACACAGTGTTTCTCTATATTTGGCTAAAGCTCAGCATATTCCAAAGAATGCTCATCCAGGGCATGATCAAAATCAAAACCATTATCATGATGCCTTCGATCATCATGCTCATCTTTACACAAATCAATCTGAAACTGATGACGAAGAAAAGAGTGATGAAGTATATGATGATTTTATTGGAAAACCAAAAGAGGCCACAAAACCAACAACAAGAAGACACACCGTTATGGCAATGACACCACCAAGACAAAATATTGATTCTGAAATTTTATTGGAAGAGCCAAGATTGGCATTTAATAAGTTTTAATTGGAAAATAGAGTTGTGTGAAGGGAATGCACACCAATAAAGATCAACTTTCCAATTTTGATGATTAGTAAAATTTAAAAAAACAATTAAGGACATGTAGAGCTAAGATTCTGCACTATCAAAAGAAAAGTCTCCCACAAGCATAAAGGAGAATAGTAGCCTTCAGGAATGTCGAAGTTGATTATTTTACCTTTTTTTAATGCTTTTCTTGGTATATCAACTCAATGTCTTTTAAAAGCAACCATTCCTCAAAGAAAGGAATTTCAACACTAAAAGCCATAGCTCCAAAAACAATCGCATAAGGTATGAAAAAGTGCTTGCTCGGAAAGCATTGTTCCATACCCATACATATCTCCTTGTTGTTAAGAGGTTGGGAGAAGAATGGAAAAAAGTGCCATAGAATATCTATCACTCAATATTGTTTTCTCTACTTTTGATGGTCGTTGAATCACCAACAGGGAAGGGATTGCTGGAAGCTGATTACTATTGAATAATAAATCAAACACTTCACCACTTGTTTTATCGAGTTCTACTATTGCCCAATCTTCATTAGGAAAAAGTTTCAGAGATAAGGGTTTTCCATGACTAACAACTTTACCATTTAAAATACAAATGGGCAATGAAGAGTGCTTACAAAAATGTACCTCTAATCCAACTAGAGGGTGTCTAAATTGCAGAATGGAGTGTAGGGCAGTTGCAATAAAAATCGTTGAATTGCTTCCTTCACGTATTGGAGTTAGCAACAATCCAGATCCTGTTAGTGGAACACTAGATTTTCCATCATCATGCACCAGATAACTTTTAACCAAAACAGATACTGATACATTTTCGAGAATTCTATTGTAGTTTCGTATCTAAAAGGTGTTTTGGATTTTGTAAAATCGGAGTGTTTGTCTGTTAGTAAGACCTCACGCCGAGTAGAAAGAGTCTCAAATATAACAGGCTCATCAAAGTAGCAAGAGGCTGTTGATTCTGAAAACATTTTTTTAAGGGTTATTGTAATTTTAAATTCGAATTAAGATTATATTCAAACCATGAGGTTAGATACTTAAAATCATTGGGAGAACAATAATTCACAAATCATTCTTCTATATCAACAC